CATTGTATTTTATATAAGAGTACAATTTTTTGGAAGAGTTAGAATTAACTGCTAAAAGCACAATAACTGCACGTGTCGGAAGAAATAAGAGAAACCTAACCTCAAATACAAATTATTTATCATTTTAGGTAGTATTTGTTTTTACCAGACGCAACGTGCGACTATCGGCTAATATAAATTCCGCACGTCGTGCCTAACACCGAAATAAACGCGATACAATAGTGCTTCGACAATTTTATTGCATCCCACCATAGAACGCGATATTAAAATTCTTCCACGTTTCGCCGAGTGGAATTCGCCGCGAAACCGCCATCGGTGTTTTCGATAGTTTCACGTAATCGTAGCTTTACGATAACGTAATTTTCTCAATCACATGTAAATATTATATTCCAGTGTTATCGCGGCGTAGCGATAAAGCTGTTTACGAAGGAAAATTGTGAATCTGTCGGAAACATGCAATTTCGTTTCTCGATGAAACGTGCACCTCACATACGGCTATTACGTTATCAATTGTGATTCATTGACCTGTATCTTGGCGTCTAAGCCAATTTGGCTATCTTGTAACCAACCCGCCTACAATGGAGTCTCGATTTCATTAAAACAAATATACATATCCCCTTAACGCTTCGCAGATTTATAAATCTGGTGATATAACCTAGTAGCACTTGTCGGTGCATTCTTGCATCGAATATAAATTTGACGAGATCGATAAGTTGGTTAATTAGCTTTGTTCGATTACGCGTAGAATGTTTCACCAGAAATAGAATATCTAATTATCCCCCTTAGTAGGTAAAGGTAAAGGTAAAAGTACTCGACTTTATGGAACTTCGTTTCACAAAGCTGGCGAGTGTTTTGTTTGGAAAGCATCTTTCTTGAGATTAATTGGCCTAATCGATCCGTGTATTCTTTTCCGTGTAAGTTTAAAAGCGGTTTTCAAAGCAAATTTAATTATCTAAATGTATACTTTAAACAGGTATTTTATTGAACGTTTTGTCTTATAGTGCATTTTCTTTTTACGACACCTAACCTAGCAGCATCACCTTACCAACAGCTGTTTTTGAAACATCTAAATTTCTTTATTATGCAAAAACTTATATCTCACTTGTTTTTTAAGGTTTTACTTCGTTGCATAATATTAATTTTTATGTAGATTAACATGCATAAAGTAGTAAATATGCAAAGGTATGGTAAAAGGAGACTTTCCTCTCAGCGGAAAATTTAAGATGACAATAACTGTAGTAGTAATAATGAACTATGTACCCAATAGCTTAGCGATCGTAGGTACATATCCGCGAAAATACTTGTAACCGTTCTCATGTGTCGGTCAATACAAGAAAACAGTTCCCTATCGCATGATCTATACGCGCAGCCGCGCATTTCAAGTACTATATTACCCAAAATTTTCCGATAAAGCTGCACCTCTCAAATGAATCTAGATAAAATAAATATTTATCGAATTGTGCAAAAAAAATTCGCAATCAATATAGAATTTAATAAATTACCGACTCTAGCTATAGCTTCTCTCAGAAATAATTTATTATTCAAAAGAATTTCCAAGTAAAAAATGTTAATTTTCCACATATAATATTACTTATTCGTATTTCATATTTTATAATTACCTTTCGCGTCATAAAGGCGCGATATTGAAAATGTGCCAATCGTAAGAAAAAAATTCCACTTCCAATATCTCTAACGTCCCTTATCTCTAACGTCCCTTCTTCTCAGCATACATAATCAAAACAATCATAATGCTTTCTGCATAATACCATAAAGATAAAAAACGAACGATTCTAAAGAACTTTCAACATTAATCCACACATTAGGAAGATTCGAAACTTTTCTGCAGTTTTACAAGAAATTTATGCGACTAGCGAGTGCTCTAATCCCGGCCACTAAAAAAGTCATCTGCGTAACAACTCTAACTTGTCGGCCGGCGGTCAATAACGTCAGAATAATATTTCTGCGGTTAATCGGTAACGGATAAGTGAGCGCGCCTGCGCGTCTACTCTGACCCGTGGCATTCAAACGAGGTGAACGTCATAACACAGTGCGCACCTGCCGGTGACTTTTGGCGTTGAACCTGCGATCCACCTACTGCGCAATGCAGTCAGTAAGGTGCGTTCTTATTGCGTTGTTGGACTCCCCGACAATGAAGTGAACCACAGAACGAGAGGCAGAAGGGAAACTATCATGAAATCAACATCCCGATTCGTTATGAAGTTTAATTGATACGTGACGTCAAAGTGCGTGGGAACGCATTGATCGAAAACGTTAATGACACGTGATACTGACCAGTGACGTGCGGTATACGGTAATCTCGTGTCACGTAATTTTCACACTCCATCAATGTGTGATATTCAAGTCGAGAATCACGTGTTAGTTATTATATTTTGAAAATGTGGTTGAAAATGAGATTTAAAATTTAAAGAAATACATTTTGACATAGTAGGGATTATTATTTCGGCAAGAATGCAATGCAATGAATAATGTGTTAGATGTAGATTTGTTATTGCAAAAATGGTGTAGATAAGTGTAGATATAACCTGACATTCTTGAATTTTTTCCTCGGGAATATTCAATATAGTTGTGTATTAAAGGATTATCGTATATCAGTGACTGCATGACTACGTGAATTTTATTGGGGGATTTGTTTACTATCTTCCTATTTTTTCGTTTTATTTTTATTCAGTATTGATATCTGCATTAATTTCATGATCAAAATTTTAAATTTATAAATTTACAGTGAAAGATAAAGTATTAATTCAGGAATAGTGTAAGAGTTCGACAAAAGCTCGTGTGAAATAATGTGTCGTATGATCAGGATAAAGCAATAACAATTGTAAATGTTAATATTGCACTCAGTATATTTCACATGCATTGTGAAAAATCGTAAATTACAAATTGTTAGTACAATGATTGTTATACATGTGTAATGACTTATGTAATTTTTAATACTATACAATACTTTTATAAAAACAATAAAATCTAAAGATTTAATAAACTAGATCATTTCGACGAAGTGGTTTATATTATAATAATTATTAACGACGCCTTTCGTAGTGAGTAATAAGTAGAACTTGGTACTAATACTCTACAATTTCTAATATAAGTATTTCCCACGAATCCGTGTGAAAGCTACAAGTTATTGGAAGGGGTGAAAGTTGTTTAACCGCTAGTCACAGTATTCACATCATACTAACCTACATTTACCAAATACGACTTTCAATCGATAATCACGCGAAACTAGAAAGAAAATCCAAGAAATTTAGAAAACCAATAAACAAACTTAAAATAAAATTTTTTTATACAACAATTTAACTCTATATATCATAACATAAAAAGGACAATTATGCAATATCTCAAATAACCTGTTAGTAAATTCAAATGCGTAAATTAGTTTGAGTTACGAAGAGAAGTCTACACGGGAGGGCGCCAAAAGCGAATGTAAAACTAGTAGTCAAAACTGGTGATTTGCCAAAGCTTTATTCGCATTTATGAGACGAAAGAATGTGTTGTGAAACGTCCATGAAGAAGCTGACATGCGTGAACCCGGCTGCATTCGTGTGCGTGGATGGCAGATGCATCTCGATTCGGTGTTCACGTGTGCACAATCTCTAATTTTTCACACGCAACAATGGTGCATATCAAAATGATCCTAAACACGTATACACGGTCACGTAGCGCATAGTATAGTTCATGCCCCTGATTGCATAAGTTTTCATCATAATTGAACCATACCTGTAAACAACTGATCTAATTTCATCTAACCTACGGCATCATTGATCGCAATATCGATTATATTCAATGAAACGATGAAATTAGGTTTTCATTTGGGAGATTCATAAAAATAGATATCAGAATAGATAAAGCAGCGATGAAAAATTAGACACATTTAGAGAGCGACACGTGTGCTGGTCCGTTCTTTTTATACAATATGTTATTTGCGTGAACTTAGAACCATGTGAAATTATTATACATATGATGAATAATACATATGTTTACTGTGTATGTTTAATGTAGGTATAGTCATAAACGTAATTACGATTAGAATTTTGACTTGAAGAAATAAAATTACTTTTGCATAATTTGCAACGAACTTTCTAATTCTAATTTTGCTTTTTGTATTCACATGGTAATAGTTGGGTATATACAAACATTTCTGCTGTTATGACAGATGCACGTTATCGGTTATAGGTTATACTGATAATTCGATGTGAAGAAACTTATGAACTGATAGTTAAATGTTTAGATAAAATTATTTGTAAATAACACTGCGTGTAGAATATTTCCATACATAACTTCACCATTTCTAATATTTTAATTCTTCAAATACATATATATATTTTTTAATGTTATACGCCAGAGGGTATTTCTTTCGAGTCACGTGTCAACGAATCACGTGACAAAATTATCAGACAAAAATACTTTTGTCCGGTATTCATTCAGACGTAATCATGATTCTTGTCAGTAATATTACTTTTTTTTTCAAGCTATACATTATTTCTCAAAGCACTAAAGAAAAATAATTACCTTACATTATACAGTCAAAATTTTATTACTTTAAAAACAAGTTAAATATAAGTATGAGTAGGTTCCATTTAAACGTTATATATGTAACGGTCGTTAAGTCGTCATAAATCTCAATACGTCTAAAACTTACAAAACACGATACCTATATACATGTGTTACATGAACTTGACCTGCACGTTTATACGATATCGTGTATACGAGATGAAAATATGGAATATATTAGAAATTTGAATACGTAACATATTACAAAACATTGTCATTGCAGATCTATATTATTTCAAGATACAAAGAGCTTGACTGGGTGTCGACCAAATGTCGGTCAAGGTCGAATCTCATTGTAAGTCCAATACCCGTTTTCCATCTATTTTCCGACACGGGACAATCGATGGGATTCATGGAAAACCCATGGCACTTTTCGTTGCGATTTCCAGCGTATTATTCATTCAAGAACACGCACAAACATAGCTTACCTTATATCGATGAGATGATTCCTGATTCGAAACACGTATCTATGCACGTCTTACTCTTCGCTGGTTGGAAAGCAACTGAGGCGAGTCTAGGGTATTCGTTGGTTTCAAAGTCTGCACCAGAATGATACTGGCGCAGGCGCACTCTCATTGCTCGCAGAGGTTCCCAACTATGACACGGTGACCGTTGCTATGATTAAAATGGCTTAGGTACGTAAATATAGCATTAAGCACCACGGATGTTTCAGTGATAAAAATATATTTTTTCAGGTTTGAAAATAGATTGGTTCTCATGTTATATTCAAAAGGAACTATGTTTGTATTAATTCGTATTTCATACGTCAAAAGGATTCTTTCGGGTTTTTTTTTTGGCAAAGTTTAATATACAAAATATTTGGAATGATAGTTATTCATTTAAATATATAGCTGAAGCGAAAAATAATACATAATAAATTTAAAATTGTAAAAGAACTTATTACACCTTAATGTTTTCCTTCAAGAGTTTTGATAAATTGTAAGAAAATATGAAAAAGTACAAAATTAAAACTCCATATATACATATATACAACGCAGTATATATAAATGTATATTTTTTTAAAACGAAATAAAATAACACGTTTTCATATGTTTATATATTGATTTTTTTCACAGTTTAATTATATGATCATTAAAATAATAATTCAAAAATAAATTCATCACGTCAAGTTAAATAATTGTTCCATAGTTACGACACTGTTGGGTATATGTACATGCGATGGTCAGGTTTATAGAGCCGAGAAGAATAAGGAGATGTGGTGGGGATCCATGGGAATTACGACATATCGACCACCGCCAGCTGAGCAAAATTTCCGAACGTACACGTCTCATCTCGCACGTATTCGTCGTGAAAGCCCCCGAATGAGGATCCCTGCTGTAGAGGTTAGTCAAGGGCACCTTGCGTGACATTCGCCGAATTTACTGACGATTACTTTTCTCTGTAAAGGTTAACGTTTCCATGTGCACATGACGAAACGTGCATACTGTTTTTCGCTGAAAACGTTTCTTTCTTATACATGATACGTTCATCGATAACTTGTGCTGCTCTTCTTAAATGTCATCTAATGATTACTTCCTCGTGATCGTACATTTGAAGTGTTCGAAAGAAGTGAATGACAAGTAATTAGAAGTATACTTGAAGTTTGTATGATGTAATTTACAATGTAACCTTAACGAAGTATTTTAAGGTTCGTTTATATTGTTGGTAACTATAGTTTGAGTAATCTCTGTCGGTATTTGTGCATTGGTGGATAGTTTTAACGACAGACAATTGGAAGTAATTGGAATTTATATGACATGATTTGAAGCGGAATCTTAGAGGAGAATTTTAGGGCTCGTTTATATAGTTCGATTAGCTTTTCCTTGTGCATACGCCACCTTCGGGTTCTATTATTCCTAATGCAGCCTCAGAGCAAAGTTTTGCTTTTTCCAGAAGCACTGCTTGAGCCTTTGGTACGTTGTCTGGGCATCCTTTCCAAGTTTTCATCGCTGTATTCTTGGAAAATTAAACGAATCATCGGAGAAATTTTTATACAGTCTTTATAGTATAGCCGAGGTTTGAAATGATGAAAAAGTTTAATATAATTTTTTTACAGATGAAAATAAATCGCAGTACTTGTAAAGCTCGTCCATAGCAGAAACTCAGAGTCCATGGTTTCTTCCCCTCGTATGTGTTAATTGCGTTCAAGTTTAAGACAGCATCTTTGTCCGATTGTCCGCCGCTCAGAAATAATACTGCTGGCACTGCTGGTGGCACTGTCCTGTGCAGTGCTGTTAACGTGTGTTCCGCAATGATCTATGAACAATTTTTCATTAATATTTTTTTTTTCTAATCTTAAAAATATTTAAATCTAAAATTATTCTAAATCTTAAATAAACTTTTTTTTTATTCCTGCATCATGTCGAATGAAATTCACCAATCCGTAATAAATTTTTATAAATTGCCTCATAATTAGAAATGACTAATATTAAAAAATTAAATTTAAAGAATATTTCAAAAAGAGAAAATGATTGCACCTGCGGCGTGCAATTAGTTGAAGATTGTACTCCTGGCAAGACCATCGCTGGTTTCAAAATTGCACCTTCGAGATAAACGCGATGTTCGTGCAAAGTACGAAATAAAACAGAATACACTTCTTCGTGGACTTCTAACGCTCTATTTATTCCATAATCTCCAGTGTTCAGTATTTCTGGTTCTATGATGGGTACCATTCGCGCACTCTGACATATAGTGGCATATCTAAAACAAAATAGCTCATTCAAACATGTTCGTTAAAAAGATTTGCAATGTTTGTGATTAAATTGGCAACAAGAAGTTATCGTATCGTTCACGAGGTCAATAATCATTTGTTTACAAAATAAGTGAAAAATTGCATACAGTTGACGTAAACATGTCGATTAGAATGTATGTATATCGCGATTGATAATTTCGAATCATCGAAAAGTTACCTCCACTGATCGTTGGGTCAGTGGGATGATGCAATTTCATACTTCTTTCTTTCTATGACGTCACAAAGTAAGGAAATTCTTCAGCGCTTAAGTGGTCACGTAGACTCACTTTTAATAGTCTGTTACTATCCTTGCTTTATGACTAGTTGTTTAACGATTGTAACTTACGTTGAAACAAATGCACAAAATGAAAAATATAATTAAATGTTTTATGGAACATAGATCGTTGCATATTCTAATGTCTTTATCGCAGAACAAGATTGAAAATTCCAACATACGAGAATTAGAGAATTACTAAAATATAATTATTCTAAATTTTTTCCCCTCGTTCTAAAATTTTCCAAAATTCCAATTTACATCTTTGTAATTCAACTCATTCCTTCATTCTAGAAGCACAATGTCCACCTTGAAAGTTTTCGAAAAAAAAAGATGTACGTCCTTGTAATTTGATTCGTTGTGTATCATTTTCAAAGGAATACCGTAAGTCTAACGCGTTCATGAAAATCGAACCTTGCAAGGACGTTCGCATTCGCAACCATGGCCAATTGACTCGGCGTACTCTCCGAAATTGTGTAGGTGCATCTCCATTTGGTGAAATGACATCCATCGCGTTTATATTGAATGCATCTCTCCTGCAGATTGTCCAGGCCCTCCGTGGTGTTCTCGTTCTTCGCGCCAAATATCGGGAACAGGCCTTTGTCGACCTTAATGCCGGGTATGACATTCCTCTGACGTAGCAGCTCGGTCAACTCAACGCCATCCGTGCTTTTTTGATAAACTGTCTCGTGATGCAGAATAACACCGCTTATGTATTGTGAAAATCGGCACTGCGACGAAAAAACGCAAACGTGGGTGGATCAGGTTTCCCGAGTTGCAACTCGATCACATGAATTTTGATAACGATCAGGGTGATTAATGATAAGTGATTTTTGGGAGATAGTGGAATTGTTTTCTTCTTAGGTATTATTCTTCTTCTTATTATTATTATTCCCTGATTCACGATATATATATATATCTTTTGAGTATCTAAGATAAGCAAAAATCGCTAACTACAGTCTATTGACCTTATCAGCAGTGAATAACATTTCTCGATAATCGCGTCGATTAGTTTCGTTGTTTTCCACGCAAAGCTCGTCGAATCGCTCTTCCAGAGACGACGGAGACTCGTCACAGGCTAGTAAACCTTTTCCAGGCACTGTGAGGGCTTCCACAATTTTTCGTAGTTCTTGACAGAGAGCTGGATCCAATTCCGAGTATTTGGTAATAGGTGTTGATATCTTCAATGAGAAATATTTTAGGAATATGAAGTTTAATAGATTAATAATGATTGAATACGATGGAATGAATGAACTCTTAAAATTAAGCTTCGTGTAATATCTAGAATTAAAATTCCCATGCATTTGTTCGATAAAAAGTAACATTAAAGATGTTAACGAAATAATTTTATTTATGTAATATTAGCGAGTAAACAGTGCAATATGTATGTTACAATTTCGAGGGTATGAGTAAAATTGAAAAGGTCAACAACCGCGTTGGCACTCGGACGAGTTATATTTAATTTCGTACAGCCATCATTCAGCCTTCTGATCTTATAATTCCAAGGAGAACGGTGCTTGTTTAACGTGATTCATGTACTTTCTAACTGTAATTATCGTTATCAGACGTTGATATAAAAGCAGCAAAGTCCAAAGATGATACTAAATATTGTATCGAAATTACACTTTCCGACCATTCATTTCTTTTTAAGCCTAGATAATCTAGTGCTATTGGACAGTTTATGGACGTGTTTGTAATAAACAACTCGCATATCTATACTGACTATTCGTTCTTTTCGCGAATAATCAACAATGTTATATTGCATGTTTCAAATGAAAATATATGGATGATATCAATGAGAAAAATGATAAAAAGATTGTGTGCTTGTTAAACGCTATTAATTTCAAATAGTGTATTTAGCGTTAAGGATTTCTATTAATCCATAACTAGTTTGACATATTATGAAATATATATAACATTATTT